CGTTCCCCACCCTCCTCAACACACGGTCCCCATCGCTCCCACGCACACAATGATCACACGCGCCCAGGCGGGAAAGTTCTTCCCAAACCCTAAATATCACCAAAATCTACACACCACCGTCGCTTCCTCGATCTCTCCCATACCCAAATCCGTGCGTACTGCTTTGCGCGATCCAAACTGGCTAACTGCGATGCAGGATGAATACTCGGCGTTGATGCAGAACCAAACGTGGAGCCTTGTTCCCCGTCCTCCTGGAGCAAACATTGTGTCTGGCAAATGGCTTTTTCGGCACAAGTTCAAGTCTGATGGGAGTCTCGAACGCTACAAGGCCAGATGGGTGGTGCGCGGCTTCTCACAGCGACCGGGCGTCGACTTCGACGAGACCTTCTCGCCCGTGGTCAAGGCGGCCACGATCCGTGCCGTCCTCACGGTGGCAGCCTCGCGGGGGTGGCCCGTTCACCAAATGGACGTGAAGAACGCGTTTCTTCATGGCCACCTCTCCGAGCGCGTGTACTGCCAACAACCGGTCGGCTTCGTCGACGCGTCCCACCCCGACCACGTCTGCCTCCTCGACAAGTCACTCTACGGCCTCAAGCAAGCGCCGCGCGCCAGGTTCGCCAGGTTCGCCGCGTTCGTCCGCACCCTCGGCTTCCTCGACTCGCGCTCGGATTCGTCCCTGTTCATGCTCCACAACGACAGTGGGACGGCCTACCTTCTCCTCTACGTCGACGACATTATACTCGCCGCGTCGTCGCCAGCTCTCCTTCGACGCCTCCAGCAGCAGCTCTCGGCGGAGTTCTCCATGAAGGATCTCGACGCACTCCACTATTTTCTGGGCATCGCAGTCACCAGGAACGACGCCGGCTTCTTCCTCTTGCAGCGCTCCTACGTCGAGGACCTGCTGGACCGTGCCAATATGGTGGACTGCAAGCTAGTCTCCACGCCGGTCGACACGCACTCGAAGCTGTCTGCCATGGACGGTGCGCCGGTGCCTGACGCCTCCGAGTACCGCAGCCTGGTCAGTGCGCTCCAGTACTTGACGATGACGCGCCCGGACATCGCCTACGCCGTTCACCAGTGCTGCCTCGTCATGCATGATCCACGCGCAGCTCATCTCACTCTGGTGAAGCGCATTCTGCGCTACCTTCGCGGCTCGACGGACCTCGGTCTCCACATCCACCGCTCCACCAACCTCGACCTCGTGGCGTACTCTGATGCCGACTGGGCCGGGTGTCCCGACACACAGAGGTCCACCTCCGGCTACGCGGTGTTCCTCGGCGATGCACTTGTGTCCTGGTCGAGCAAGCGCCAAGCCACGGTCTCCCGTTCGAGCGCGGAAGTCGAATACCGTGCCGTCGCCAACGTCGTGGCCGAGTGCTGCTGGCTCCGACAACTCCTCGGCGAGCTCCACGTCCCTCTCCCCAAGGCAACTGTGGTGTTCTGCGACAACATCTCCTCTGTCTATATGGCGGCGAACCCCGTTCACCATCGGCGCACGAAACATATCAAGTTGGACATCCACTTCATCCGGGAGAAGGTTGCCCTCGGCGAGTTTCGTGTTTTGCACGTCCCGACCACGCAGCAGTTCGCGGATGTGCTCATCAAAGGGCTGCCTTCACCAGCCTTTTACGACTTCCGATCCAGCTTGTGCATCCGGCCACCAGATGCTGCAGCTGCGACGGGGTGTTGACAGTTGCATGGCGATCCCATGCACGTACGTGCTCACCCACGTACATGCACACGATCTGCCCCCCACTGCGCACGTCGCCCACTCTCTCCTCTCTTCTCGAGCGCCATTGCGCCTCTGTACATTGTACCATATATATTGCTGCCGATGGAATGAGAGCACCTAAGGTGCATTTTCTCTCCCGCATACTACTCTACAATCTTTATTAGGTATCATTTACTTTGGCGGTTCTCAAAATGAAAGAATAGTAAGAAATGAGAGGGATTTTTTGGAATAGCAAGAGTTTTAGGGACCTGGCTAAACAGTCACGTTTCAGACTTAGTTTTTTTTTGCGGGGACCTGGCTAAACATAGTCACGTTTCAGACTTAGTTAAAGAACACAAACTTTTTTGTTGCCATTTTGGAGACAACAAGCAGGATTTTTCTCCAGAAGCACAAGAGAAAGGATCGTTTAGCACGATGGGAATTCTTTCTGTACCCCTAAAGACCAGGGTGGCCTCAGGATTCATAAATTACTAGTAAAAAATTATGTACTTATGAGTAAATGGTTGTTTAAGCTGCTAAGCAAGGATGAAATTTAGCAGTCACTCCTATGAAGTAAGTATTTGGGGCAAAAATCACTCATGGCGATTAAAGCCAAACCAATGGACTCTCACTTTTGGAAGGGCCTCATGAAAGTTAAGGATAAATTTGTTCAGTTTGGATCATTTAGTGTGGGGAATGGCAAATCTATTAGATTCTGGGAGGATAAGTGGATCAGGGGTAGGCCTCTTTCGGTGGTTTAACCTAGACTCATCCATCCAGTCAACTTGAACTGATCTGTTAAATGACATGGTAGTGACATGGTAGTGACATGGTACTGATGTGCGTACATGTGGCATCTGCGTCAACTGAAACCACCTGTGATTGAAAAATGGACAGGATAGTTCAAGTCGCAACTCAGACAGTTGAGTTTGTGACTTAAAAGTGGACATTCATGGAAGTTTAAGTTTGAGAAGTGGACTTTTCCAATATTCTCTGGAGTTAGAGACCATCAGGGATTTACCTTAAGCCCATTATTAGCACCTGTGTCATTCGATGCTTCAACCATAGCTTCGGTCAACAAAGAAAATCTCTAAAGAAGGGTAAAACTGAATCAGATACTTCCTGACACAGAAAAATGAGGAAGCCAAATACTATGATAATAAGTATTGCAAAATAGTCTTTAACATCCAAAAGACAGTTCCTAATTCCCACTTAAAATATTTACCAACATATAATACAACAGTAAAAAGTAGTCTTCAAGGAACTCAAGTAATCAAGTGGCTAGGAAGAAAACCTGTAAAGGCATAATGTAGGCTAAAATACCCAGGCCCCAAGAACATACAGTGAGGATATGCTTCTTGGTCCAATAAGAGCAGGAAACTCAAGACGAATATGATCATAAGCAGGAAAACAGAATTTGCAAATATGAATACAGCATAAGAAAATAATGTAGCACACTAATACCAGCTTACCAAAGAATCAAAGAGGTGATCTGAGCGACTGGTGTTTCTCCCAAGCTCACCAGAAGCTACATTGTTGCCAAGGAGAAATGGTGACCATGACTGGAAAATGGGAAATTAGTTATGCATGTTAGATTTTTAAATTCAATATAGAAGTATAAAACATACAACAGTACATAGTTTGTTGAAAAAACATCTAATACATTATGTCACCCTTTACCTCTTTAACTATAACTAGAGTTGGATGGGAACCAGAATTTGTCAAATATACTCTTGGATATTGCTGCAAGTTAACATCAAAAGCACACAAAATGAGATGAGCCATGAAATGACAATATACTAACTTAACAGCATATAGGTTTTTACATGTTACAGTTTAGTGGTATATCAGTGTAGTATAGTAATGATAAAATGGAGCTCCCCTAAACCACAAAAGGAGCACTGCTTGGGTAGTTAAGTGAATATTAGTCATGCTACACAACAAAAAGAAACATTGCCGAATCAGTGGCTTTTCTCTGCTAACGGATATGAATGAGAATGGCTAACATAGCAGGCCAGAATCTATCTCCCCATTGTCAAAAGTACCATGATAGACAAATGGAGGGACAAGGGGCATGTCAACTTGCACGAAGGTGGCAGAAAGAGAGAGAAAGGGGTAGAGAACATTTCACCTTGCCCAGCTCCATTAAGAGATGGAAACTTGCAATGGTTAGCTCCAAAGAGCTGCTGCTTTGAAAGATCTGAAAGACAGCATCGTACATTCTCCTTCCAGAAGTAAAAGATTTACATAAATAATTCCCATGTCAAACTCAGCAAATACTTCTCACATAAGATTACACGAAATATTCATTCAGTGGAAGAGTGGAATAAGAATGTTTGTAACATACTTGCACATTCACATATGTACTTGATTGGTAGATGCTTTGTTTGCTTGTTACTATGGTCTATGGGTTTCAATACCAAAAGTTGAACGAGTGCTTTCCCGTTCAAAGATCATTAAGACAAGGCTAGGGGGCATGATGGAAGATGACTTTCTTGCCACTAGAATGCTACTGCCTCATTTCCGGTCTATAAGGCTTGTGCGTATCCCTTGATTTATAATTTGACCAACATAAGATGAATTATATAGTCTAAAATTAATACCATTAGAAAGTATACGATTTGAAGTTTCTAATGATATATTTTTTACGATATAACTTGTATTACGTTGGTCCATTTGTCAACCTAGAGATACACGCAAGCCTTATAACCGGAAAGGAGGTAGCAGTACTCATAGAAGGTGAAACTGCAGTGCATCACAATTACGAAGATACCAGATTATATGTTTGAAGAAAGAGGAGCAACACTTTAGTCTTCCTTCATGTTCAGGCGTATTTATTTTGGTGTTACTCCGATATGATATTGACACAGATGTGAACACAATCACTCAATACTTCTGTAATAATAAATTGTGGCATGACTTCCCTATTAGTTTGGTACATTGTAATATTGGGATGTACTGAACTTACTGCCCCCCTTTCATTTTGTATCCCACCCATTCGTTGAACAACAATCTACTAATTTGAGCAAGCTAAAAAAATACTGCTCCTCCTCTTGAAACTGAAATGAACAATAAGAAGACGGAAACATGTGCAGATGCAGTATTATATGACTGAACTGGGAAAAATAGAAGCATATACACATATGTCACTATCATGATGCGGAAATGGAATCAGAATATGAGTTAAAGTATATAGTCAGTTCCTTCGTCTTTCTAAGTATCAAAAGATAGTTACAGACTAGTGTCCGTCCTATGAGATGACACAGAAAGGTGAATCATTCAATCAAATTTGCCCGACAAAATAAAGTAAACCATATATCAATTAGCAAGCGAATTAGCTCTGGTAAAGGAATCGAGAGAGTATAGAGCTTTCCACACTGAATAATTCGCAGATTAGTATAAGTATCGTGCTGAACAGCAGGTGTCAGGAGACTAAACTACTTTACGAGCGATGAGTTCCGTACTCAGTGGGGGTCGAGGGTTTGTCGCCGGCCAGGCAGACGGAGCGCACGGCCTCCAAAAAAGCGGCTCCTGAGTAGATTGGTGAGGCAACGAGTTAGCGCCGGGATCAGCAAGCAAGTGGAACGGGGAACGAGACCTACAAATTGTTGG